CATGGGCCATGTATAAACTGAATGGAATAGATCAATACAAATATTATCTCAACGCAAACATGAAGCTCAAGCAACTTATTTTGATTCAAATCATTGATTCATCATCATAAAACATTAAACACAAATATTTTAAGATTACTATATAAAGGTACGCAAAAAAGGTTTAAATACGAACATGACATTTGGGTTGCAGGTCACGTGATAACTCGCTGGATTTAGACAACATGAAAACAAAATAACATTTAACCAGATTTCGGTAGTGACATAAATAATTAGATATTTACCTTGGTGTTTCCCCAAAATCAGGAGGTGCTATATTTTTAAAACTCAAAGAAAGTATCCTGCCTGCCATTTGTGACTACACTTCCTGTATTGAAAAACTAGTAGCTATAATTTAAAAGAACGTGACACGTACTCCTTGGATGACTATACGGATGGTCAATTTCATTGTCTTTTTCATCATGATGATCATACTCAGTTCACAGTCCGATCAAGACTTACTCAATGGTAATATCTTGTAGTGAATTTCGTGTATTGTATTTACAGTATTTGACTTGTACGCCTTAACAACATACATGTATTCTTTTCCATAGTCAAATATATCAAAGTTCAACACAGTACAGTTGTAGCAATCCCTCATACCACCTTCTCCAACAAAGGATCCAATTTTTTTAGAATTTTAGTGGGAATGATTTATCACACCATCTGATCCCATCCACTTCATTTTTTGCAATATACACACTTCCAGTTGAATCTACACAAGAGAGCAAAATCAAATAAAGCTTATAAAATGTTCATGACCAGCAGTCAACTGATAACGAGGAACTATGGTGATTAGAACGGAATTGCTTAGCACCGGGCGCTTTTGATGTTGTTCTCTAAATCAAACATAACTTGAACCATGAACTATATACCAGAGAAATAAGAACTTAGGCATTTCTTTTGATTTAAAGCGGGAGGGTCGTCACCTGCGCACGCGCGGGAATTGAGTCCCAAGCGACGATAACAACACACGCTAAAACGCAAAGGTTCTTGGGTAGACGCTTGTTTGTAAACAATGATACGCCCTGGCCATCTGACGCATGCGCAGGTGACGAATCTCCCGCTTTAATGTTGAGACTTATCTTTTATCTGTATTTACTGCTGATTCGTGACAATGATCACAAAATAAGCACGACTTACTTCCTATTCTATTGAGAATGTTACTCAAGTCAACAAAATGGCCAATGTTCAAATGTCTTGCATATTGAGAAGAGCCTCCATGAATTGTCACAATTCTGTTAACTAATCATTGTTCAATAACACAGAGGTCATGGATCAAATCATCACGTGAAATATAATATGAAAGTTGACTCTTTCGTGTTTTTTATCGCCTTATTTCACGATTGTATTTATAAATTGTTATATCACCGGTAATAAAAGTTGAGACACATAAGTGATATTGACGACCATTTTTGGCAACCTTTATCAAAATCTGGAACCATTGTGCCTACCCGGCACATGGTGGCTCTCCAGCTTAATCCAAGTTTATTCAATTTGATATTACGTGGCTTACATCTAGACCATACATCGAACATCTCAATTTATTTTTCTGTTTCACGTCCGTGCATTACAAACCTTGAAATTTAGCAATGTTTGTATTCACCTAAATTGTCAGATCTCACTTCCCGACGCAGCCATTCATTATGCTCCATGTTACCATCACACTGCAATGCAGATACGAAATGTCATCGTCTACGTTATATCCACCCAACCCAACCCGACTCTCGTAGATTTTACCGTAGATACGAGAATCTGTTATTGATTTGTAGTGCAAGATATATTCCCAATCAATGTAAATTTTAACGTTTTTATGATTGGTAACCATGGATATCCACAATGCGCCGATTTAGTATAATCGACATTAAATCTCTGAAAATTACAATTCAAAATAATCCCAGTATCATTTACATCCCATGAGAAAAGCGCATCGCGTTATGTTAGTATAACCATCGTATTTGTACGTACCACGGTTGTCGTATTTAATAATTTATGGCAATTTAAAGTTGGCAATTTAGCAGGCATGTAAATAGGTCTCTAGGTGGTAGTTGAGCGCGGTAACTGAGCGTCTCAGTTTTCACGAAGACATGAGATATGACTTAAACTCGAACGGATGGGTGCAGTAACTGAAAGGGAGACGTACAACAGAATATATTTATTTAATCAGTAAGTGTTGCTTGTTGAGTTCATGGCACTTTGCAAAAGTTGATTTAAAGTCTATATTGTTATCGATTTTGAGGCAGGTGTCTTCTGTCCCTCGGGACTCTAGCTGAAGTTGTTCATGAATACGGTATTATCAGTAAGTCAAATAATAAAATTGAAAGAGCATTAAACTTTCATGTTGACTTCTGATAGTTGACAAAGTTCAACACCAACGCCAAAGGTTATGATGTCGATACTGCTGTTCGCTATTCGAGTGGCAAAGAAATTAGCGAATGGTATTGCTATAGTGACGGACGGTCTGGGTAGCCGCAAGAGGGCGCAATACTGCAAATATGGTCTATCAGAGTAGCCTGTTAAAACTATACTATATTTATAGTACTTAGTATTTGGTTTATTTGGTTTGAATTCCAAATTCGTGGCAGAGCACAGCTAAGTTCGGCAGTGACGTTATTCTGAAGAGTACCGTGAGAAAACACACCGTCAATTCTCCAATATGAATGTAATGAATGAATGAATGAATGAATGAATGAATGAATGAATGAATGAATGAATGAATGAATGAATCATGATGAATGAATAAGGTTTCGGAGGGTTTACGCCATTCAAGCGAAACAGAATTATCATTTGAATTTAGAACAGAGTAACTCAAGTTCCTGTATTTGAATGTAAATGTTCACTCCATCTGCCGTAGTCGAGAACAGACAATTTTTTTACTTTAGTGAAAGAGCGCAACTATGATTTACATTAAAAATAACAAGCAAGTACGATTTTGAAAATTACTCTAGGTAAAAGCGGTTAGATGGTCGGTTAGTTTAACTCGAAACACACCCTGTACCCCGATAGTCTTTTTCATTTACTCAATGCTAACGAAATATAATTGTATTCGATCTGATTATCAGACTTCACATAATATTCTCGATGCCAGAGTATCCAACTATCACGCACCACTGGGGACATATGTGTTCTACTACAAATACCGGTGACACATACACACAGCAGTGCCAGTGCGGAAAATTTAAAGCTCAGGCGCCAATACCCACAGTCCCGCAGCGGAGAGAAGAGATAGCGTCCCTCCCGGGGTATTTCCATCAGATTACGCTAATCACAATGTAAATTCAAGTTGAAATATACAATCTCTTTCGTTATCGTGCATATAAACATCCACCAAAAGCGAAACATGTGTCATTTAGTGCATGTATTTACATCAGCTATCGAGAATGAAGTTTTTTCTTGTGTTCTTAATAATATCGACAGTTATTAATGCATCGTTTGGGTTTCAAATCCAGAATCCCGTTATAACGCTAATCGAACCGCAGGGAATACGATTCGCGTATCCAGGTTAGTTCTGAAACTGTTAAGATTTTGCAGTGTTTTACTTTTTCCTCAGAATCATACAAATCCCGACTCATCGGCTAATTTGCTATCGGCGCCTATAATTGAACAGGTTTTCAAACAAAATCCGAATTTCATTCATTTCTACAGAGTGTTATACATCATTATCAAATGCGGCAAAACAATAAGATAAATTTAACAGGAAAAGGGAAAAAATGCTGAACTAACTTATTTGTTATGTTCGTTGTATTCGTGTTTGCATATCTCAATCTGTCATGTTACGTACTAATGTATTTTTTATATTCATTTAAATCAGTGAAACTATTTCGTACTGTGTAAAAATGCTGACTTGCGTTCAGGTCATTAATTACGTAATAACCCTAATTTAAATTAATAAGTTGTATGCCCGAACGAAATTTTATAAAGATATTCATCAACTGTTACATTTTTTTTTATTCAAAATTTTCAGACGAACCAGGAATCAGTTTGGTGGCGTATCATTACAGCATCAATGAAGTTGTCAACGGTGTGGAACCAGGCCAGTATAACGTTGACGTCACTTCACCAACCAGTAAGTCTTATTAGCAACGGCCACGTACGCCGTGTACATAACTGAATTGCTTATTGTTGATGTCTGTTCCTCGATACGAGATGTACACAACATATTTTAATGGAAGTTGTATGGTCGAGAAGAACCTTATTCATGCTGGTACAGCGTACGACAACGATCAAGTTGTCACATTCTTACTTAAACTTTATAATAAAATCCTACACAATTTAACAATAATCATTTTGTAAAAAATAATTCAATTCTAATGAGGATGTATATGATTATTATAATATATATATATAGTTTGCATAAATTAATGTATTCATACAACAAATAAAAAAAAACAGGTTTACCTGCTCTTTTATACATTTCGTGTAGAGAGACGGTGAGCGTAAAATGTCTCGCATTTGTTTTAGATGGTTGGTGGCTCCACGAAAATACCGAAGTGTCAGTTGGTACCAACGATATTGTATATTACTGGTTATATGTCTTGCATGATGGAACTGGCTATCAGCTTTTAGAACAACAATGGTCGCCTAGCGAGGGTAAGTGATGTACTGAAGGTCGGCTTCTTGCCACGTGTATCACCATTTTCAATAACCGGATTGGATAAAGTAATTTAGAAATAAAACACCAATATATACATCGTAAAGCCATTAACAGTTTTTCGTCTTATTTGCTTTCAGAAAACCCCACCGCCGTACCTGGGCCTGATCCTGGACCTGTGCCAACGGGAAGCGAGCCTGGAGTACCAGAACCACCTCCACCACCAGAAAACACTGCTGCACCCGGAGAATATGTCGTTACACAGCCATTTATCTCAATTATTTTTCCCCAGGGACTAAGATTCGCATATCCAGGTGAGCAGCAGCAATTTGCATTAATACGTAAACTTTGACTACTTTGCATACCAAAGAAGCATCCAGGGATGCATTACTACTTGGCATACCAAGGTTGGTATGAATACTGTGCGTAGTAATTAGTATTTGCATATCCAGAGAAGCATTACTACTTTGCATATTCAGGTCAGTATGACTACTTTGCAGATTCATCAGTATTTGCATATCCAGATAAGCATTACTACTTTGCATATTCAGGTCAGTATGACTACTTTGCATATTCATTAGTATTTGCATATCC